AAATCTTGGCTATGTTCTCATATTGTGTTAAATCGTGGTATTGTTTTTTAAGTTTTGGCTCAGTGTAACTTGCAACTGAGATACTACTGCTTGTATGTATCATTATGGAAGATATTGTTAAGGATTCTATCATGACGCAGATTATTTTTTTCTTTTTATAATAAATATTTAATAATAAATAAATATAATTATGTTTTCATCTAGCAGCAGTAAAACTATCCTGAACATTACATTATGAATTTTTGGTATCAACATAATCCTACATCATGGCTATATAGGAAAGGAGAATCTAGTCTCAAAATTCAACCCAAGGTATTCTGCAAAAAATATAGCACCAGGTCGTCTGCAGAGAATTTTTGAACAATTTATTATTCAGGCTATGTTAGTGCTCATTAAATTATTCATTTTGTTTATTTATAGTGGAGCTATTACAGATAATATGGTGAAAATCTCCAGCAACCTCAAACACCAGATGCTAGTTTTCTATCTGTAGTCCCATAAGGCAAATCTAAGCACCAGCAAGAGAACTTTAAAATAAACCCAATTACTTTTGTGCTAGCATGTTAATTTGCATAAAATAAAATCAAGCAAAGAAGTAACAAGCTTGTAATCATTGCTCCTTCCTTCCTTGCTTCCTTCACACATAGAAAAGTGTCTTATTCTAAGTAAACTGTTGGCCTCGTAACTACCAACAGCAGAAGGTGTCAATTTGGTGCACTCCATATATTTTGGAGTCTAAGACCCATCGGCCTCTACCAGCATGGCCAATAGCAAAGGCAGTTATCCAAAATATATGGAAGAGTCCAAATGGCTTACTACTAGTTTACATTGTCTGGCAGCAGCTCTCCAAGATGACTGGCAGAAATCTTTCTCAGGGATACCTGGGATTCCAGGGACTTCTTTTTTCCACACCTTGTTAAATTCTGTGAGAGACATTAAACAGAAATCTTGAATGAACGTCTCAAATCCAGGTATGGATCCATTTATTGAATGGAAGAACTAATCAATGCAAAGTCCCAGTTCACTAATAGTAGTGGAATTCATTTGAGTTTCAGGAAGGATGAGGTTTTCTCAGTGGGTTTAAGAGATTTTTCCATTCTTTGGCTGAAAAGATCATTGCAAAGAATTGTTGTTTGGCTACATTCAAAACACTTTGAATAGTTTGAAGGTCTTGATAAGTAAAATAAAAATCCTCAATAATCTGTCTTTAGTGTAGAGATGTGACATTGATCTTGAAAAAATGCTGGAGACTTTACAGATCAGATAAGTTTAGACTAGCATGCTCTGAGTATACTCTGACCAAGTGCTAATTACATGAGCATGCTAGCTCATTCAGATTAAACTGGAATTTTCCAAAAAATCTACTTTGTTGTGACTGATGAATTTTCCTAATACTGTATGTGGTTTCATATTAAAGTCAGTAACCAGCAGCACATAAATTTTTTATATATTCCTACAGTACTTTCTTCGGAGCTGGTAAGCTTACCATTCTTATCCATTTAGAAAATATTTTCATAGATATGGCATTTAGGCATACTAAATAAACCATATGAAGCAACTCAGAATTAGAAATATGGCAGAAATAAATGGAATTAGTGGAATTAGTATCCAGAAGCATCAGCATGCCATAGACCCAAGAGCAACAGAGTATTTTCAAGCTTGTAGGTGAAGTTTCCATCTAAGTCCCAGGTCAGCAGCAGGAACGACTCCTGGCATCTTTTAACCTTGGAAATGTTTAAGCACTGTTTCTGGCATCCTTCAGGTATCCTTCCCACCAGGCAGCACTAGGCAACCGGTATCTCTTCTCAAGCACAGCAAAATCCTTGTGCAGTTGTTAAATCAGTTGTCAGCCAGCAAGCAGCAGGTGATCCAGAGGCATCAGATACAATCTACGCTATCAGGCAGATGATGGCTTTGGAGTCATCTCAGGGCGATACGGGCAGCAAACAAATTTAATAAATAAATAAATGATGAGGCGGATTCCGAAACTTCTTCCACGTAATTTCCTTGATAACCATCTTCTGATGCGTCACCTTCAGCAGACAAGTAGTGCAGGGAGAAGATATTAGGAAGTGAGAATTTGGTTTGGTCCAGATAGTAACCTCCCTATCACTAGCACTTCTCAAGATGCAGGACCCAGATAGTTTACTGCAGGGGTGTCAAACTGCCGGCCCGCGGGCCAGATGCAGCATAGCGAAACCATACCCACCCATTGCCGGCAATGCCAAAATAAATCGTGATACGTTGCGACATATCACATGACGTTGCGAGTTTGACACCCCTGGTTTACTGCTAACACATGCTGAGCTGTTGGATGCGATTACTGCAGTGCAGATGAGATGAACATAGACAAGACCTGCAAGGTTTAGGGCTGTTTCTCTGGGCAACCAAATCTTAATGTCACTTCATACATGGGAAATGTTACACATGGGAAAAGCAGCCTGTCAGGTACAAATTGCTGGCACTGACTGTGTTACTCATAGACTTGAACTGATTGTGCAGTAAGGTCTTCGTTTGGAAGGGAGTAGCACCAGGATCATCTCCATTGGCACTTAGGTCGCCACTGACACTTTTACAGACAAATGCCAAAAGATTGCTTTTGGAGTGCAAAGGGGAGTGCAAAGGGGAAGTGGAGTGCAAAGGGGAAGTGTACACTAGACCAGTGCCAGGTCATGGACTACATGCACTGACACCTGATGTTCTGAAAGCTGTCCCCCCAGAATTCTACCAATTTGCTCAAGCAACTGGTTGTTCATGACATGACAAGGCATGATTGTCCTCTCCACAATCAGAAGTTGAGACTGATTGCCAAGCTGGTTTCCTGGGCCATTCTTTGTGATAAATGTAATTGCAGAATCATGCTGAACTAGGTTCTGCTCTTAGTTATTTTAAAGAAAACTTTCACAATTAACTCCAGCAGAAAATGAGCTCTAAGAATGGCAGAGCCTTGGCAGGCTGATTTCAGTGGCTAAAGTACTCGAATGCCATGCTAGCATGTTATAGAATTGTAGAATTGGGATTGCAAGACTCATCTAGTTTAATCCTTTTCAGGAAAAACAATTAAGAGTCAGCAAGAAATGGTTTAAGCTTCACCTCTTAAAAAATCTCCTAAGGTGAAGAAGTCACAACTTCCACAAGTTCTGCTATTATACAGGTCATACCTTGACATGTGGCAACGCTGATATTAATAATGTCAAACTCTTGACAGTCCAAACCAAGATTCTAAGAGGTTTCTTTAAACAGATTTATTAAAACAAAGGGAATTAGGTTCCAGAAATCTTGTCAATATTTTAACTGTTAGGATCCAATTTATCTCCAAATTTATTAAGGTGGACTTTTTACAAGTTTTCTTGGTAGCAGCCCTTTGTACAGGCGATATAGCTATCCGTTTTTTTTTTTAGATAAGAAAAGAATATGGTCAAGAGACCATTGAAAGATGGGCAGTACAGTACAGTACAGTACAGAAATGTGAAAAATAAATAAAAGTATATAGTTGTTCTGAACTTGTACTATTTCCAAATTACCTGTTTCCCAGACATCAACAAACGGTAACACTAAGACCTAGAAGTGGGTCAAACAGGATGTGCAGTCTCTGAGGTTACATGCACTCCTATGACACATGGACATGCAGCATGAAGACATCTGTTGAACAGCAGTCCCTAGAACCAGGAAGAGAGAACCAGCCTTCCATTGCCCAGTTGCCTGCCTGCTTCAAAAATAAGCTACTGTTGGAGGGGTTTTGTGTGAATTCATGTGCAGAGGCTGAATTTGGGTGGGAAGATTAATATGTGACCTTCAAAAGAAAGGCAACATTAAAGAAGTTTCTGCTTATGCAGCACTACTGCGCTTATGTTCACACACACAAATGATGTGAATACGAAAAGTTCTAGCAGTTCATTGTTTCAGGTTGTTCAGAGTGCACAATGCACTCGGTACATGTGCATTGTTCAGAGTGCACAATACTCGGTATGTATGACCTTGATTTCTAATGTTGAGATTTAAACACAGCAAGTGTCCCTAAACAGTAACAGCCAAGAGCATACACAGAGTGCACGTGCACAGCTACGTTCAGCAAGCAGTCACTACTATCCAGGGCTTTTTTTCTCATAGAACGCCCAGAACGGAGTTCCGGCACCTTTTTTGGATGGAACCTTGTAAGGTAGGCAAGGTGGGTTGTATAATATGTGTGAGTTCTGGCACCTTTTTTTTTCTTTTCTTCAAAAAAAGCACTGCTACTATCACATCCAAGGGTATTTCTTGCTGATGGCTATTTTGCATTTGTTGATTCTGGGAGGTATTGCCTTCAGGGCTGTTGTTTATTCATCACACTTTGTGTGTTGTGTTGTTTCAGCTCTTTTGTCTGTGGAAAACTCAAAGTACATTTAAAAATACAAATATTTGTATTAGGTGGCCTGGTAACTGTAGGGTTATTCATGGACATTGCATTCTTTTCATGCTGTTATGCAATGTTGATTCAGCCCATGGTGCATTAAGCTTATAAACATGCTTCAGCTTGGTTGTTTTTTTTCACTTGTTGCAGTTCTCTTTTAGCAATTCATGTGAAATCTCCAGCCACAGAAAAGGTAATGATTGTATTATGATTTAAAGGGTTGGCTTGTGGGACATAAAAATCAACTATCCAATCAGCCCATCCATCCAGAGCCAATCAGTTTCTCTTCACATTTCTTTCAATTAAAATAGCAATAGCCCAGAGCAAACCGTTGCTTCTGAGAGGCTATAGCTAAGATTACCAGATCTGGACTGCAAAATCTAGATGACCAGTAGATGGCAACAAGGATAATAATAATAATGATGATGATGATGATGATGATGATGAAATTGGAAGGGACCTTGGAGGTCATCTAGTCCAACCCCCTGCTCAGACAGGAAACCCTATACCATTTCAGACAAATGGCTGTCTAGTCTCTTCTTAAAAACTTCCAGTGTTGGAACATTCACCACTTCTGGAGGCAGGTTGTTCCACTGGTTAATTGTTTTAACTGTCAAGAGTTTTCTTAGCTCTTTGCTATTATTACTGTACCCTACTGGCTATTCAGGTTTTGCAGGCAAGACTGTTCTGAATCCCATTGTTTCCTCTTTACAGAACACCCAGAACCAATCCCACTTCCAGATTATCTGAACTCAGAATAGGAAAACTGGATTTAGTTTGTCCAGATTGTGGTTGGCCTGTAATGGGCATATCAGAACTCTGGGAATGAAGTGTTCAAACAAAGTGGGTTTTTCATTTAATTAAGCAGTTTTTCATTGTTTTTCTTTTTTCATGTCCATGCAATTCATCAGCTGTATCAATTAATTTTGCATAAATATTGAGGAAGAGGAACCAAAACTAAAGAAGTAATTAAAGAAAATCAATACATGTCATGGAAGTTTGAAAGGACAGGACTGCTTTGTTTCCTCGGATCCTGTGTAGATTTGCTAAGGCTGAAGAAAAATGTTTTGCAGCTTTTGGAAACGGTAGTTCTTTTGCAAGTTTATAACAAATAGCACTTCAGGTAAGATGAGACAAATTT